ATTATTAAATAATTAATATTATGTTTGTACATTAAAAATCTATCTTATAAAAAGTAATTTAAATATATTTTAAAATACTACAATGATATCTTTAGTCAACAAAAATCATATATGTTGATCGCATTGTAACAATTTAGGTAATACCCAATTATTTTATGCTTAGTAGTTATTAATTTATTATTATCGGCATAAAAATAAGTAATATAAAATAAAGTTTAAAAAAATGTAAATTAGAATTTCCTTGGAAGTAATATTCGTAAAAATAATTCTTTTTTATTTCTTAATGCAGATTTATTACTATTATTTTATGTACATGATACTTTTATTGCTATAAATAAAAGGATAATATTCCTAGCTTCTATATATAACTTTCTTTTCATTTATATTTTTTATTTCTTTTTACAATTTGAAAAGGAAATAAAAATTTGCTTATTTTGTTAAGAAAATAATATTTTCAAAATTTTTATAACTGAAATATTTAGAACTTTGTTAAAACAATAATATATACAAATCACAAAGTATAATATACAAGAATATATTTACAAACATAAAACTTACATGCATGGACAAAAACATAAACAATTGAAGAATAAAAATTCATGTAATAAAGAATTACAATTATATGATGTGTGTTAATTTTCATACAAGCATATTACAAATACTGAGATTACATATAACATTTAACATTTTTTTCCAATACTTATTTTGTTAGTTTCAAATATGCATGAAAACTAGATATTTAGATGTTTATATTGTTACTGAATAATTTACACATGCAGTAATTTGTACTTTATGACATTTTAAGATGTTTGAAATTACGATTTTAAAATATTTAAAACTTTAAGTCAATTATATAATCTTAAGATTATGATTTATAAATAAAGCTGTCAATATCAAATAAATAAAATAAATGTAATAAATAGGTCTAACTATAAATCATAAATTGATATTTGCTTTGTCCAAATATTGAATATAATAAATAACTAATACGAAATATTCACATAATTTTTTACATCCATTTTATGGGAAAAATAATTCTACAATGTTTTTAACCTTACAGCAAAATTCATATATTATGCCTATTTTCCAATGTATGAATGAAAACATGCAACATTAAGTTTTAAGAAAATTCAAACAACATTTTTTAAGATCATTTTGAATTACAAGGTACAATTTTTTGTACCTTATTTTTGTCTCTTATTTTCTGTTATTATAAATGAACAGATAATTCACTGATACTATTTTCGTAATTTTAATAGTAATTAATAGCTTTACCCTTATTTTTAAAATAATAACAATATAACTATTTATAACTATCTATAATAGTAATAAAATGACGATACAATTTTGAGTATTAGTTAAAGTAATTATTTATGTAATATCTTAAAGGTCAATTTTAATGTATTAATTGAATAAAAATATATTGCTTACAAAAGTTGAGTATTTATAATTTTACATTGAAATCTTTCATATCACGTCATATTTTCTATGTCATGGTATGATATTTTTTAAATCATAGGGTTCGAAAATATTTCGTCGTGTATAGAAGATTATTTTATAATTAACAATTATGTATCTATGTATGCACGAAGAAATAAGATTATGATCATATTAATCAAAAATTGGTTCCTGAATATGACCAATAAATATTGGAATAACTTTGCTATTCTTAGTTTCCGAATTTGTAACTATTACGGTGATACTATATATGAAGGGTCGGTCGATTGGCATTTTTATTCTGCATATTATACCGAGTTTCCTTTCTGCACCTAGAATAAATTGTATAATGATCGTATTAATTTTGATTGAACGATTATACTTTTCTTTTTCCCTGTTGTTCTTACTATACGAATCAACATGCATTAAATATTATGTCACAATTAAACGAAGACTTTAAATTGCAGATTTTGTAAAATAAAAAGTACGGAAAAATTTGTACATAAACCATCAGTTTATAAAATCGAAATCTTTCCTACAAAAAGAAGAAGAATTAAAGAGATTACATACTGTACATATCGAACAGTGAAAAAATTTAGATGTGTCGTGTTCAATATAAAAAAGAAAATATGTAAATGATGATGTTTATAAGATCTTCTCAAACAATGATTTTATTTTAATATTTCAAAAACAAAGGTACATCGATTAAAAGGAAAAATATAAAGCTTTGTTCTTTAAACATTTTGCTTCACTATTATTTAAACTCTAATATCGATCCTTCAAAGACCACCACTGTATTATGCTGAATTGCGAAATAAAAAGGTTTATCAATTTTGAAGACTGGAATTGGAACTGGAATACGAGCCGAAATGAGCGATATGATAATACCTAAAAAGAAACAAATATTGCGTCATAAATAAATACGAATTAAATTAATTTGCGTAAAAAATATCGAAAACATTTTTTTATAATAAAAATTTATTATCTATTAAACAAATATAAAATTAATAAATAACAAAATCAAAATGATAATAAGTGAAGTTATAAGTTTAAGAAATATGAATCATCCATAATAGTTGGAAAAATAGTTTATATCCAAGGAATCTATAAAAATGTATTATGAACTTTTCAGTATTATATAATGAAGTATTGCACTTTTGTTACTAATTTTTAAAAACATACATAAAATTTACATAAAAATAGTAAAAATAGTTAAAAGAAGTGAAGAAAACAGAGATAATTAAATAAACTAATAAAACTTTTGAAAATAGATTTATGTGTATAGCTGTACACAAGATTAAACTTTTGTTTTAAAAGATATTAAACGTAATTGTTATAAGAGTAAGGTAAAATATATAGTTCCTTGATGCTAATATTATTTAATATGTATATTGAATGTATAATGACATTGAATAAAAATATTATTTAATAGTATTTTCATTATAAAAAAATAATTTTTTGCAAGTCATAGTAATTGAAATAATGAAGAAACTGACTTATTTTTTATTTATTTATGACCTACTGAATAAGAACACTATTTTAATAAGGAAGTAGAAAACTAGAATTTATTAAAAAGTATAAAAATAATAAAAATTAGTAGCTTATGAAAATAGATTTATTTTTTCTTAAATTAGGAATATATAGTATTTCGCATTAAATTAATAATGAAATATTTTGCTTTTACATTTTAATTTTATAATGTATTTTCATAAAAAGTGCAATTTGAAAAAATGTATTAATTAATATAAAGAATGGAAACTTAAAATATATATTATCAATAAAATAAGACTAAAACCCTCAAAATATGCCCAGAAACATTTAACAAATATGGAAATAAAAGTCTAATATGTTAAAAAAATTGAATAAATAAAAAAATAGAAATATTATTAACATTACATGTCATCAGTATTTGATTTCTAAGGATGACTTTAGTTACAAGATATTTATATATTTTTTACTTCTTAACTGTTCTATAAATTTGAAAATTCTTACCTAAATCAAAATAACATGATTTGTAATTGTCCCTAATTAAATATTACAAATACTAAAAATCTGTTCTGGGAAATTAATTTAGCAACATATATAAAAATACCATTTTTGAAAAAATATAAAAATTTCTTAACGAATAGTAACAAAGTAGTGAAATAGATTAGAATTAGACATAGGTAGAAAAGTATAAATAATTTCATTGTCAAATCTGTATATTAAATACAAAATTATAATATTATGTAAATATATAAATATAGTGTTCACAATAATAGTAGTTCAATAATTGTATATATTATAAATAACGACTAAACAATCCAGAATATACTTTTATATTAGTAATATTATATTATTGCTAAAAATTTCAAATAAATTATATTTGGAAACCAATTTAAAGAATATATTAACTTTAGTTTTGTAAAACTCAACATGTGAAACAAAACAAAATATATAAAAAAAATATGAAACATAAAGGTATAAAGTATTATTATGCAAGAAAGTATAAAATAATGTGATACAAATACGTCATATTGATCAAAACCATGTATTCAAAACATATTTTTGTTTCTTTTTTCGATTATGGACATAACAACTAACATTATGTTACTGCATGAAGTTAAAACTCTATTAAATGTTTATTTAGTATTGAAAATTTTAAGATTATAAGAATATTTTCACTAAATTATATTTCATTTAAATAATTTGGTATAATCTTATTCAAATATCTTCAGAAATTGAATTTTCATTAATTAATATAAATTACAACATTTAAAATAATGAGATATATTATATATAGAAATAGGTACAGTACAACAAATTAATTACATTCTTTGAATGCAAGAAATTTTATCACTAATTTGTTTCTATATATATATTTTTATATATTTTATATATTAAACTATAAAAAATAATAAAGTATGTTAAATTATGAAAAAATAAGGAATGAATAAATAGCTCAAAAAAGCAAGTTAAACTTAAATATATTATGAGAAATCAAATATAATAAATTAATAAAGTAGAATAAAGTAGAAAATGAAAATAAGAATTTTTTTAAAAAGAAAAATGAAGGGAAGTAATAAAAATAAATACTCGCAAAAAATATGTTACTAAATTAGATTAATGGTATACATATATAAGAAAGTCTTATTTCTTCCTCTTTATTTCTTATACCATCATACGCTTTTTTCTACGGGCTTTAACTGAACGATGATATAACGTATTTTAAAATGCAATAAGAGAGACGACAACTTTTTCCACGTGTAAAAATTCATTTATTTAAATCAATCGAACCAGTTAAGCAACTTATATTAAAATAAGAAAAAATTGGCAAGACAGTGCACAATACGGCGTATACTATTGATCCCTAATTCAATTTTTAATACCATAGAAATAAAAAAAGTCATGAAAATTCTGTACATCGTATTAAAACGATATTGGAACCCTATGGTATAGCATTTGCTAAGAACAAAATTACATTGTAGTATTTAATAATCGACAGGAATGGTCGATTGACGTAGAACTGAATGGGCTTCGCCGGTGACCAAAAGCTCGAAAGAGGCCTTACACCGAGACCTGCCACAAGCAATTAATAGTGAATTATTCGCTTAAGCTACGAGCACGGAATAGGAAAAACATTAAATCACTATAATGTGCTATGTTACCGTAATCAAGATAATAAATATCATTGAAAGACCATTATAATAATAATTCACATAGAAGATTTGATTATATTAAACTGAGTATAAAGACAGAAAAAAGAGCGAAGAAATTAATCTCTTGTATGATTTTTTAAAAAATGCAAAAATTAATTGATTTAGATAAAAGTATATAATATAACCAAGTAAATCATGCAATTAACTCGAAGTCAATAATTCGGCCTTCGAAGAGAATTGTGTTGTCATTCCGTGATGTAATTGCAAAAAAGAACGGCCCATTTACTCGAAACTCTTCTAGGGAAGGAGATAAGAAGAGCACAACCTCGATTTCTGTCGAAAAAAATTGTACAATGTTATCAATTAAAAGAAAAACACTGTCACTATTTGTCTTAAGTGTATTTCATTCTTTGTCTTCTTTGCTCTTTTTCTAGTTTCTTATTTAATCAATTTTATTAATGATTATAGTAATTACAATTCCTGATTAATTCCTGATTGGTCATAAAAGTGTTAAAGGAATAGATTAGTTAGATGAATACTTCATAATGATTTAGCTATACCAAATTGCTTTTTATATTTTCTTTAAGTTCAAAAATAAAAGTAAAAGTTAGTATAGTAAGTAAAGTAAAAGTTATATCTTTAAGACATAATTATTTTTAAGATGTGACCACTAATTGCCAAAATAATATATTATTTTTCATTAAGTGATAAAGAGGTTATACAATATAAATTAGTACAAAAACATATACATATAAAGACACATAATGACAGACTATTGTGCACCAAAGCTAACAATAATACATTCAAAAAAATAAGAACAAGAATGCAACAAACCAAATATGAAGAAGCATTTTATATCATTGCCTGTACATATAAGCATATTGTGATTCACCTTCTGATAGAATATACTTTTATAAAACGAATACACACATAAAAATGCATAATGCATAATTTGAGGAAAATGAAAATTAAAAAATATACATGCAAGCTTCAATGTAATTAAAATATTTTAAAAAACTGTCATATCATTTCTCCAAACTGTTAAAAAGTTTTGGAGGAATAAACTATGCAAGAAATGAAATTAAGCAAAATATTGTTTTAAATATTAATCAATATACTGAATATATAATTATAATTTCATTTGAAAGTAAATAAAATATACAGTTGATAATTTGTATTTTTATATATATAGTTTTACATTAGAAATGTTTCTTTATATATTTATCCTATAAAGAAACTTAATGCAAAATCTTGCTAATATTATGTTTAAATAATTTAATATTTTCTAACAGTAGATATTATTATTTAAATAAATCTATCTTTCTTAGATTAGGTTATACTTTTAATATTTTCATACTAAGTAATTTCATGTTTAAGATAATACTTTACTTAATTTCAAAACAAATTAATCCAAATAATTTTTATTTACTTACCAGTAACAGCAGTAGCTTCACTACCTTCTTCATTTACTTCAATGAATGCCTTTTGTACAACCTTAGTAACTACTAACTCTTCATCAGAAATTCCAGAAAAATTAGCATTTCGTGAAAATGCATCGATTAAGCCCATCTATACAAAATAAAAATTAAGATGTAAAAAATATAGTTTTATATGAATTACATATTTATTTCATACCTTTTGTAAAATATTATTAAGTTCTATTTTACTTTCAATTTTGAACTTTGGTAAGTATAATTGTATTTCACGTTCAAAGCCTTGATTTAGTATATCAGTTAAACTTGTGGTTTGTAATTTTTTTTCAACTTCAGCCAAGCCATCAATTTCATTTGGAAGAATTATGACCATACTCAATTCATCGCCCTACAAAATTTATTTATTTAATTTTATTATCTAGAATTTTCTCTGCTATTATAATTGTAACATATAAATATTGTTTCCATTTATCATTGATTTTTTTTAAGACTTACCTTGTATGGTATTACGATAAATTTAGCATTTAAATTTGCAAGTTCACCATATTTGTAGGTACCTTGTCTATACATTGTTGGAACTTGTTTTACTGTATTCTTATTAACATTGAATGGCATATTTTTAGTATGATCAGGACTGAACTTATTTTTCCATTGACCCTTAAAATATACTGCATTAATAAGTACTAATGCTGTTGAATCATCTATGTCACCTGTTAAAGAAAAATATCAATGAATTTAAAATTATTTCATGTAATTTGTAATATCGACATTATACATCCAATAAAATTTTTCAAAGCATTTTCCTGAAATTTTAATAAAAAGAGTAAACATTTACAAACCAGTATTTATAATGTCTTGAATAAGATTATTTGTGTTTTGTTCAACCCATCTGTTAATAATATTTACAGCTTCCAGAGATTTAGCAAAGTTTATTGATTGAGTAACAGAACGGAAATATGTTTGTGTTAGATCTTTGTAACTTGAGTTTATATTGAAATTTTCAGCTATAAAAGCTTTGTTTGCTAAGGCCAGTTTATTTTCATGGACATTCTAAAGTCAAATATATAACATAAAATAATAATAAATAAAAATAAAAATTTTATATAAATAGAGGAAATTGATATGTACATTAAGATTATCAATAAGTGCTTGATAACCACATGTGGCAAGGCTATCTGGCGATGGAAGATGAAGCACTGTTCTAAACTGGCTTTCTGTCTTTCCACGAGCTCCAAAAGCAGCCATAGCAAGAACAATACCTGCACTCAAAGGAGATATTATAAGATTGCCAGGCTTTTCTTCTATAACAGCCTGGAAAGAATTTTTATATCTATAATTTACTTATTTTTATCAATAATTAGTTTTTCAAACTAATTTTCACAAATAATTTTTACAAACAATTTTACAATATTGCCTTACCTGAAATAGAGAAGAGGAAAATTGATTTGCGCCCAATGATACAGCATGTAGTGCTTCAACATTATTTTCTGCCCTTGCCATTGTTAGTGCAAAAGTTACCAACCAAAAACTTCCTGTTACTAGAAAAATTTATTTATTAATTATTAGTTAGAATTGTTAAAATAGATTTTAATTTTTAATATATTTATTTTATCTTAAATTAGGTATAACATTAAACATTATGCAAACTGAGGCATATCACACATTTCCTATTCATTCTTTGTATTACCACATGTAACTTAATATTAAAACATTCAGGATTGAAGCTCATATTGTTCAAGATACTTCATATTGTTACAAATGATTTTTTATAAGATAAAATTAATACTAAATAAAATATAATGAAAGTGAAAATTTATTACATACAAATTTTCAATAAAATTGAAAATTTAAATACATACACATCATTTTATTATTATCATATATTATTTAAATATTGTTATTTGATGAATAATTTTTATGTATATTAATACATCTTAATGTCATGTCATATCACAAAGATACTGTCAGATAGACAATATGTTATTTTTGACATTGAAATATAATTGATTAATATTAAATAATCTGACAGTACGTCATTATCCGAAAATTATGATAACAAGGTTACATACAATATGCATGTATATAATTAACATACGAAAAATGTGTATGTTACGCAAATATTCTAGTATTCTTGTACAGAGTCCCATGAATTCAAGATTCGAAGTTTCAGATTCAAAGTTCATTATACGTAAAAGACTAAATTGCCGAAGAATAACAGCTACGTGACGTGATTAACGAAAACCACAGTGAAAGCTTCGGGTAAAGTATGAAAAAAACTATAAAACTTAAGACTTAACCATGAACACATATGTATACAATTACACATATTTTTTGCTTTAGCAAATACATTTATAATAAAATATAGAAATAGTAGAATAATTACGAACATTAGAACCAATTCAAATTAGGGAAAATTTGCATTAATATGATTAATTTCAATAAAAAATTAATTTTATTTTTTCAATAAGGAAATATAAGATTATTATTATTAATTATAAATTTAATTCTAACGATGCTGCTAAATTTATAATATTGTCATTATTTAATGTCTTTACTGTATAAATGTATATAAGTATTTGAATAATTTTAAATACTAATTTTTGAAACTTTCAATTCATATTATAAATAAGAACTATTTATTAATTTACACTATTTTTAATGTTATTAATATTTATGTTATTTGCAAGTTACAGAAAAATTTCATATTTAAATTTATGAAAAGAGAGTATATACAAGCTTTCATAAAATTTTGATAAATATGTATCTTTATTGCATTATTTACCTTTATTATCATCAAATGTCAGATGTAAGGGTATCTACATTTAAAACTCATAAACTGGTTTTACATCCAGTTTCATCTCTTAAATAATATTTATGACATGATGTTCAATTGTTGTTTACATTTACTTTGGTTTATGTACGAACATGTAAAATAGACAAATAAATACATCTGTATTACCAACATTTAACAATTTTTTTTCACTATTTTATTTAAAAAAATATTTAAATATTTTTCCATTTATATATTAAAAAAAAAAATCCAGAACTTAACAAAAGAGGACAAAAAATACAATAGTTGTAGATAAAACAATATGTAACTTGTATATTTGTATAAATTTTACTCCAAGTCTAATTTATTTGAACGCTAATAAATATTATAACAAATTAAATAAACGAAGAAAGTATAAAACCGAAAAATAATGATGTCATCAAGAATAAATATTAAAACATATTTACTTTTTATATTTTATTTTCCTACGTTTCACTTGACGAAAATTAAAATATTAAAAATATTAATCTTTTATTTTAATTTTTATTCTTATGCTATTTTTTTTATTGTATTTTATGGAATAGTTTTAGTGTTGTGTAGTCTTAGTGTTTTTTTATTAAAAGTTCCATTTTAAAAAAGAGAAAAGTCTTGAAATAATTAAATGAGAACGAGGACTCCTCAGAACTACATACTATATACATATATAATACAAACTATATATATATATATATATCGTGTATGTTTACACATATAGAAGAAGATAATTTCAATGTTTCCCTTGTGTCTCGCCGGGGAAAACCCATTAAAGCATGAACAAGTATTATAATATCGTTGTTTTCAACACGACTAATGACACATGTAATTGCTTTGGAAAACCCAGTGAAGAAAAAGACGAAAAAATAGACTTTTTGTCACAACTATACTCATCAATGCCTAGCTCATAATCGAAATTATGCAGAATAATTAAAATCGTATTTACTATATAACGTATAATGATTAATTATTATACGACATAGTGATTAATATACATTTTTACAACAAATGATTGGAAAATTTGAATTTTGAATCTTTCAAAAAACAAAAAGAAATTTGTAACAAAATTATGAAAAATTTGCGAAAACGGATTAAAATTAATTATAATCCCTTTTATTTTGATTTGAACGATTAGGAATAACAACTATTATTAATTGGTTGTTTAATACTATATAATAATAAATGTTATCTGTTGCGTATATAGTAGGAAAATACAACAATAACAATATAATTAGTAACAGTGATAAAGAAATAAGATAAACTTCAACAAATATAACTTCGAAATTATGTAACATTATAGAAATTGAAATAAAAAGGAGTTAAAATATAAAATATTTTATATAACAAATATAATAATTTTTCTAATAACAGATATTATAAATATCATAGTCAAATTTTAACAACGAATAATTTATAATTAACTTAATTTTACGAAAATTTTATAATTATTGATATATAATTTATTGCTCAGTAAACACATAAACCTCTGTTAATAATATTATAAATTTGTATTACTTCATTTTTATAAAACTCTATCTTTAAAAATTACATATTCTTATAATCATCAAAAAATATTCAATTTTTGTACACCATCTTATTTACATATTAATTAATAATTATTTGTTTTTAAAATTATGAAATCATAATTAATTGATCACTATTTTATTCTTTACTGATATTGATATAAATTGATATAAATGTATAGAGATAACAAATTTGATACATTTTATTGTTAGTAGTACAGTATGGTATGAATATATCACTCTTAACTACTCGATTTCATTGCACTAAAACTGATTAGTTTCCAAATCAGCGCACTATCAGCGGGAATGATACTTTACACATCGACCATATGTGTAATGTTTAGTTAATATTTAATGTTATTTTTTTTGCGATATAACGCGATTGAATAAGCATACCGAGAAATTGTATTTTCCATAGGCACATATTATTACAAATTGATTATTTTTTGTTTCTTCACAGTTACAAGCTTAAACTATGATTACTTTCATATAAGTAATTTTAATGTAATGAATTAATATCACGACTTCTAAAGAGGTTTCCCACTGAAAACACTAATTTTTTATACATAAAATTTGATTAATTAATTTTATTTCTTAATTAAAATAATATTTCAATTAATAATATTTTTAACAAATCATATTCATGAAAATGTAGTAATCTACGTAATATTTTAGACTAAATATTTTTAGTATATTTGATTGTTTAATTTTGTATAAATTATCTTAGTTACGTGTATATAGAATGATGTAAAAATTGTGTAATTAATAATTTTTAGTAAAAGTAAAATAAACAATTCGATCAAAGATTGTAAATTATGTTAATACAAATTGAAAGTTAAATAACTAAAAGTTATTCGTTTATTAAATAACATGCATATATAAAATTCTATATCCCTTTTTATTAAATACTACTTATAAATATATACGAACAATACGTAGGAACGATTGGGCGACAAATTCTTTATAACTTATGAAAATAAAATATATTAGAAAATCGATTGAATGGAATGAAAATAAAATTAATTATTTTATTGCTATTAATTGTTTTCATATCGTGAAATATTTAATAATATATATTTAAGAAATACTATTTGAAAATCAATATTTTATTTAATTTCATTGAAGAATATGTTGTAGAAAATATTATTAAATGTACCATTATATATAGATAAAGATTTTAAGGTTTAAAAATGTTATAATCATCATTCACTCTATAAAGAATCGAGAATCTACTCACACCGTAAAGATACCGAAAATGACAAGAAAGTACCGTTTCGAATATTTTTGATTTACATATTAAGCTCATTTGGTTATCATAGCACCAAATTTCTTATGTGAATGTACGAAAATTACAAAATTTCGATATAAATAAGATAACTGTTATAATAATTTTGTTTAAACAAAGTAATTCATTTTTCAAAAGCTATAATTATCAAAAAGGATTTGTATATATTTCGTTCAACTAAGATCTGCGATAACTTGCATTATGTTACATATACTACTTACATATACGCATGTTGGTAGTCTGCTCGTTTTACCTGTTGATCCTCTTCTAAAGTTAAACGCAGACTGCGAGAATAAGCAACGAAACGAATATAAAATTACCATAAAGAATTCCAGGGAAATACTAACAGCGAAAAGAACGAACCTACCGAGAATCAATAACGAATGAGCAGCCAATCACGAAGTGCGTATTCAATTGTCCACATGATCGTAGAGATCAACAAAGTGAATTTTAAATCTGATTGGTGCTTAACTAATGAAAATTGAGTGTAAACAGGACAATGTTACTGACAAATATTTTGTCAATATTACTGATTAAAATATTGTTTTTCTTCGAAGATAAATGTTTTTATTAAGAACATAAATTTTAATTACGCCAAAATATATAGTAAATTAGTTCTCGAAATATATCGATATATTTTACAATATCGTTAATATAATTATTTACACTGCATATTTTCATTATAACTAAAGATAGTATCTAAAATATTAATCTTTTTGTACTTCTTATTTATACTTAAAGAAGAAAATATTATTTATTTATATAATTCAGTAATTTTTAAGTACTAAGTGATATTAATTCTATATTAATTAATTAAACACACATTAATCAATTTATTATATTAATATCTTATTGATCCTTATATATCTGTAAAATAATTTAGCAATAAAAGTTAATTTTAATATTTTATGATCTTATATAACAGTATAAAATAAATAAAGATTATTTATTTTTATTATGATTTTGAGTTCAATAATTATTTTCAAAACATTATTAAATTAAAACTGATAATAATTAAATGTAATTCAATAATACGAAAATAACAGTAATTATGTTACCTATATATGTCACCTACTAGTAGAAAGAGGAATATTGTTCAAACTATAACGTCAAACTACGCCATTATACTATATCATGTTTCAAAATTGGTCATACAAAGAATGATTACATATTTATAAATTTCGATAAATAACGCAGAAATAAATGTAAAATTTGACTAAATTAAGTCTTAAAAAAATAAAATGTATTCCTCGTCATATCACGTTAAGTCAATTTGGAAATCTTTTTCCATCGAGTAAAGTAATTTTAGTCACAGTGAAAAGTTTTCAAGTATCGATTTAATCGCAAAGAATATTACAGATCATTATCAGTGAAATAAATATTTTTGCAATGTTATTTGTTTAATCATAAGTATAGTATACTCTTATCATGTCATTTCTTGATAAAAATTATTTTAAGAACCTATAGTAATATCATAGAAAATATAGTAAAATAGAAATAATTCATTAATAAAATTAAGAAAATAGCAATGAAAAAATTACTCTGATTATTTTAACGATACCCTCCCATTTCTTATCTAAAAATTAGTATTCAACACTTATCGTGCAATGAAACACATTATAAATATGCTCATATGACTCATACATTATATATTGTCTTCAAAAAATTTTAATAACTGATTTAACAAAAATTGACAATGTGAATAATTTATAATAAACATACTTACCAAATTATGAAAATGCACAAATGGCAAATATCCCGCGCAATTGACTGCAAAGTTACACCACTTTCAAGTATATTCACTTAACATAAATACATACACCTAATGTGACCACGTACTCAGAAATAACCAACACCGATAAATCGTAATGTTTGATAGATCGATCAATTAATCGATCAGTGTAAATGCTTGAAGTTAGATTCGAGTGAGAACTTGCTGCATACTACATATTACATGTAAACAGTAAACGATAAATTTCATAGATCTACATATTCACAAGACACACAAGTTATAGACGAAATATTTTTTTTAAATTTATGTAAATGTAAATGGTAAATTATAGAAATATACAATATTGAAATAATTGCATTTTATAACTTACATCATTATCACGATGAAATTGCATAAAACGAATTTATAGATTTTATTGGTTATATCTTTCTATTCTTTAGTAATATGCAGATTATTCAAAATGTATTATATTAATAAATAAATAGATTATTCAAAAGTTTTGGGGAAAATAAAAAAATATTGTAAACAAATTTTTCTTTAGACAGATAGGTTTTTCAAGTAAACGTAATATCATTCGTGTTTAACGAAATATGTTAATATATACACATACCACATTTATACATACATATATTAAAAAGATTATTTAATAATTTATGTAATTCACTATTTGCACATATTTGTAAAAAAATGTTTAAATATTCAAAAATATGAGAAGTTTTAAAAAATATTCCAAAAATTTTAAAAAACTATACCTAATAACTTCTAAACGTTAAGCTTCTATGTTTGAATCGTAGTTTTCGAAAGAGACTGATCAGAATCACTTCTAGCTAGCTACACCCATGTACTAAATAGTATACGATCGATAAGATTATTTACAAAATTCCTAAGAGGTAAACGCATCATCTATATCTATTTTCATCATATATGTTGATAGCAATGTGCCAATTGATACGAACGATGAGCGAATGGGAAAAGACTGGCAACTGTGGAAGGATGAATCGGCAACAGTATAAAAATGGGAGAGAGCGGGCGATTGTGAATGAGCGTCTCTCTGTAGCGTCGGTTAGTGAATATACACGTGTTTTATAATAGTGTGGTAACATAATATCTGAAATAACCTTTAACCGTAAGCAATAGAATATAAATGTTTTCTTTATAATCAAACGTCTTAACTTGTATATATATATTATTAAATAAATAACATAAAAACAGTAACGTAATACACAACATAACCTACAACAGGTTATGGACCCAGAACTCTGAACTACAACACGTATACACAGTAAGATTAAAAGTAAAAGTACATTAAATCAACCGAAATCGCCCACATGGACAAACTATCGGATGCGGAAAACTTTCTCCTCTGGAAGTTTCAAGTCATGGTGATATTAAAATCACACAATTTATACGAAGTTGTGGAGACCGTGATTGATGCGAAAGACAGAGATCCAGCATGGGAAACGAAAGACGCCATAGCGCAAAAGATTATCATGACCACGATGGAGAAGAGAATCATGGTGCACATTCTCACATGTACAAGCGCGAACCAGATGTGGTCGAAACTGCACACAATCTACCAAAGAGACATGAGTCAGCAAAAGTGCAGTCTCATGAAGGAATTCTACTCCCTTATATGTACCAAAGGAATCGAAATGAGTACCTGAGTAAATTAGAAAACCTTGTCTTTAGGTTGAGAGTATTACAGATAGACATAACAGACGACATGTTGATGTCCAAAATCTTATTCACCTTACTGATGCATTTGAGCATTTTACAACAGCATGGGAGTCAATGAGCAGCAATGACAGAACATTAACCAATCTTATGGTTAGACTCCTAGCAGAGGAAAATAAACAGAACATGGTTAAGGAGAAACCAATTGCATTTGGTGCAGTCAGCAAAAGATGCTTCCAGTGCAAGAGGACAGGGTATCTAGCCTGCAATTTCAGGATTCAGACACAGACCAAGTCAAGGCAGTACCAAGCCAAAGGAAAGGGATGGAACCCAAAGACAAACAATGGAACGAAGCAGCAGTGATATACATTGTAACATCTGCAAAAAGAGCAACAATAATGAGGCTAATTGTTACTTTCGCAGGAGAGATGCCAAGAATGTACCACAGAGAAAGGTAGCCTACTTATGCAACACAAACAGCCCAGCAGAGAGCTGGATTATTGATTTAGGTGTATCAATGCATATGGTCAAGGATGAGAACCTTGAGAATGTAAAAACAAAGAGAATTAGCATCAATGTAGCAAAGGAGGATCAAGTAATGCAGGCTAAAGGCATTGGATCCATGGAATTTGAGGAGTGTAAATTAAAAGATGCTCGTGCCTGACCTGACAACCAATCTATTATCAGTAAGTCAGATCACAAAGACTGGCGGTGAGGTGACATTCACTAATGAAAAGGTGCTGGTAAAGCAAAATAATCATGTAGTGCTGAATGGAGACAAAAATAAGAGCGGATTGTATGAAGTAACACTGTACACAGAGAAACAAAAGACTCATCTCAACAAAATCAAAGGGAAATAAAATGCACTGATGTGGCATGTCAAACTCGGCTACATGAGTAAAGAGGTGATGGTGAGATTGACCAAGATGTCCAAAAATATGGAAGTAACAGAAAAGGAGATTAGCGACATGGATGAGTGTCTTTCTGTTAGCGTTGGTTGGTGAATGTGCACGTGTTTTGTAAAAGTGTGGTAACATAACATCTCAGATAATCTTTAGCAGTAGGAAATAAAATATAAGTGTTTTCTTTATAATCTAACGTCTTAACTTGTATATATATATTATTAAATAAATAACAAGACAGTAATGTAATATACAACATAACCCACAACAGTATACAACTAGGATTTTCCCAACTCTTGCTCAGAGTTTCATTAGTAAGAATATTTTACTTGACTATCTTATCTATTTAAAATGTATATTTTCGTACATTGTGTGTGTGTGTGTGTGTTTGTGTAGCATATAAAAATAATTAATAAAAAATAACAAATGTAAAAATATATCATTTGTTATTAATTTCATTTCATAAATGCAATATAAAAGTTAATGTAATATAATAAAAGAAATTATTATGCCTTCTCGAAATATTCACGATCGATATTTATATCGCGGAAAGCTCTATTTTTGTCACAACATTTCTCGTTGTCTGGATTTTTCTGACAAAGTTCACAACCACATACTGATTCACGTGGTTTTTGCGGACCTTGTTTAGGTGGACAAGGTAATGGTTTTGTTGTTTCTTCGCAACAACATGGTCTACAAGGATCCTATAAATAATATTTTTTTCTATAAATATTTACATGTTTGTATGTCAAGTGAAAGACTATTAGAGAAAGTAAATAACTTAATTTTATATGAAATAATTGTTACCACATAAAGAAGATAATAGATATTAATCAACATTCTCTTTCTTATTTTCTAATTATATCAAAGTAATGGTCATAAATCCACAATTTATTTAACTGCCCATAAAAATATTATATAATATATATTAATATCATTAATACAATACCTGCATTTTAATATAGCAACAAGATTCAACAGCAGGGCAGATTTCACTAGGAGATGTATATGATTTTTTTGGAAGTGAGGATTCTGATTGAGGAATGTCTTTTTTCTCTTCATCCAATAATTTTTCTCCATTTTCTAGTCTTTTTTTGCCTTTTTTCTTTCTCGGAGGACATGCCGATTTAATTTGTGAAGAAGTCCAAGTAATTCCAGAATTTACTAACCAAATTATAAATTATTTAAGAGATAATTAAAAAAGTTTTATTATAACAATACAAATCATTTACCAGAGCCAAACAAATTATTCCATACACTTTTACATGCATTTTCATTAGTCATAATTTCTTATAATTCAAAGAATTTTTTTAATATATTTTTGTTTTTATAACATTAGAAAAAATTTTGCAATTAATTCTAATTTTAAATAAAAATAACCACAATTAGGACTTCATGATTGATACAATTACGCGTGTGATTTATTCGATCTTCAATCGTTCTTTTCTCGGCGTTGAATGCTTATATTTTATGCAAACTGAACATATTTAATACTTAACTTTTCTTTTTATCACTGAAGTATTTTTTAAAATTAATTACAGAGGGAAAAGTGTAATAACATTTTTTGTAAATTTCAATAATTTGGATATATATATATATATATATATGTTATAATATTGCAAGATATCGTACTTTTAATATTTTTAAATGATAAAATATTTCATCATCTTATGAATAAAAGAACTGTGATATTTTTATTTACTATTCTATAAATGGTAGAATATAAGTTTATTTAATACTTTCAAATTTCAATCATAGTGTCATTAATTGAAATAGCATATTCATTAATTATAATTATAACTACTAAGTTTTTTTAGTGTATTTATAAAACATCTTTTCTTATATATATAATTTTTATATATATAGTATAATATAATTAATTTAAATAGAAAATTTAAAAAATTTGTTGATAGTTCGCCGCCCTCTAGTGGCAGAAATTGAAAACATTGATATGTTCTTACTGATAGCATGTGATGAAAATAACCACGCAACTATAAAATTGAAGTTTCATCTTGTTTGAAAAGTTATATAATTAATTTTAAATGTAAGATCAAAAAGAAATTATTTTGGTCGATTTTAATATAAAAGATAAACAAATATTTGTTATATTTTGCAGAAGTACTTTACAGAAAAAAATGAAAATATATTGTGTATATAAAACAAATGTAATATTTACAACATCAAGATTGTGATACAATTACATTCAATAACTATAATTTAACCTGTTATTGTATTTTAAATATTAAGAAAATGGATGATTATACAGTATCATTGGATCCTGAAACAGAAATGTTCTGTTCGTTATACTTATTCAAAAATGTGCAAAATTCTGATGAAATACGTAAAAAAGTTATGGATGGAACACTTTCTTGTTCTATTATAAAAGCAGCACTTGTAGTAGATCCTTTGCAAATTATAATAGCTGCTAATAAAGCTGCAATAAATGCAAAGATGAATCAACTTACTACAAAAAGCATATATACTGAAATTTTGTTTAATTTATCAATATCAAAGAATATATCACGTATATTAACAGAATTTGGTATTAGTGATAAAGATGAAAATATATTAATAGTATTAATGCATAAAAAATGTGATAAAAAATCAATGTCAGAGATACTTATGGATAGTATAAAAGGAGAAAGAATATCAATTTCAAGATTATTTGAGTTTACAGATTTTGAGTTAGTAAAAAAGATATATAAAATTGAAAAAGATGAATTGGATATTTCTACTTTTACTAATTCTATTGTTTCTAGAATTAGTTGCAAAGATTTTATATCACTGAAGTAAATGTGAATTTTTAACAAAATTATTAATCTTGGAATAAATGCGATAAAAATATTATTGTTGGTATATATTAGAAAATTGATAGTTATTTTTTAAATAAATGTTACATTTAAAAGTTTTGTCAATTGTATAATTATATATCAATATTTTATAAACAGTATAATTATATTGTAATTTGTTTATTAAAAATAATATTATTTATATTTCTTACTTCAATTTATTCTTCCCCTTTATTTTTGCGATGTTTATTGTTATAAATTTTATAGCAACTTAAATACTATGATAATTATCAATTTTCTTTAAATATTTAATTTCAAATTCTTAATGTGTAAATATAATTTCTATAATCATAATATAATTAATTATAATCAAATATGATATTAATATGAAAAATACTAATTATTACATTTTGCAATTTTTACATTATTCGTGATTACATATGTACTAAGGGAGTATCATAAGAAGGAAAGCTGAAAAGTAGATTTCTGTAAAAGATATTTTTTTCTTTTTTTTTTTTATTCACTCATAAATAAAGCCAAGTATGCGCTGAAAACAATTTTTATATCCGCAAGAATACAGTATCTGTCAAAACCTGCGGAAGCAAAATTGCAGTTTAAGGATAGCACCCTCAAATGCATACAAAAGCAACATAATAATGACAGTTTGTTACGTATTCCTTGGCAAACCACACATTTCACATATTGCAAAATCTGCTGCATTGAGAAAAGTGCAATATGAACAAGTCCAAAGTGTTTGATCAGGCGGTGAATTTACAATTGGATCTGTACCAACTGCTATTCCAGTTCCTTCTGTGAGTACAGAAGATGAAATTCTTGAGCTAGTATCAAACGATGGTTGCGATGTAGATGCTGTAGTTTCAGAAAAGAGTTCTTCTACTGTTGCCCATTGTTCAGAATGTGACCACTCTATTGCTTTTGCTTTATCTTTGTTACGAATTGCTTCTAATAGCGATGTCATATGATCCTAAATAAACAAAGAAGTATATTTTATAACAATAAAGAAATGCTCAATTGGATAAGTATTCAAGAGAAAATAGATACCTTCATTGGGAACATATCCATTGTTGCAATAAAAATTAACAAGTGAAAATCTAAAACTGCTTCTAGAAATTGTTCTTTCGTAAACTGCTGCATGTAAGAACAAAGTGAGCTAAATTCTTGAATTTGTCCATCGATGAGTCTATGATTAATTAAAATAGATATCAGTGCAAACTATCTTAAAAGGACACAATATTATTATGTATTATATTATTGCGCTATTCCATTAATTTCTTTTACATACCTATTTTCAATTGGAAATGGAGTAATATTATCGCTAACATAAAAAGTAAACTGTGGAGTAAGTGGCGTGGATGCAGGTACATCTACCAATAAATATTCTACGGGCAAAGGTCTTGCTAGCCTTGACACTTCATTTCCATAAGAATCTTTTTCCTAGTAACAAAAAATATAAAATGCAAAGAGTGATTCTTTATCATTAAATTTTTATTTTATTAAATTTTCTAGACTTAACAAATAGCCATGTTGTTTCATTGATATTTATTCTTATAAATCACAAACAGATAATGAAAATTGAAGTCCTGCTCAAAGTATTTAGAAAACATTTTACAACTACATTGGGACGTCCTTGTCACATGTTGAGGTCGAATAATATCTAGACAATTTCATTGGTCGATTCAAGCAGGTATAACGAGGTTTACAAGAAGGATTATGAAGGCAAGTCCATAATACTTGCATTTGTAGTAGTCGAGAAATGCGCGCGCAATGGTAGAAGCCGCAGACGACAACCGGCATCGTTTGCCACGAGTCGAATTGAAAGTGTATAGGAAAGAGGAAAGAGAAAGATAGAAGGAGAGGAAGAGAGAGAGAGAAGGAGGAAGCTTTAGGATTGACGGGAGGGGGTAAGATACGGGACGAGGAGAGGAGAGCAACAGCGTAAGCGACTAGCGCGCGCTGTGGTGTGTCGGTCGGTCGGTCGGTCGTCGCCGCCATGCTAGTGGTTAGTTTAGTGAACCAAACATCATGATGTGGCAAAACGTTCGCACGAGCTAAGACTGAAGTAACGCCGCGTTACCGGCGCGCCGTCGTTATGTTATCCATAATAACTCACGACGTTCGATAAGCGTAAACACGTAACGTGAAAAGTACAAAAAAGCTTCGTAAAAGCTCCACGGCGACTGCGGCGACGAAAACGTCGGAGTGCTCGATTCCTGCGTGCGGAACCGCACAATACTACGTCAATCCCGATGTAAATTAAAGTCAAATCATATATTCGAACAAACGTTACGGAATAATCATCGTCACGGTACACGCTAGGAGTGACGAGTGCCAACGATCAGCCTCCATCGCGCGGCAAGGAGACGATCACGAATCGTATACACGGTACGGAACATTTACGCTCTTACAATTCAACGAAAGAAAGAGCAAGAAAGAGTATGTATATGTGTGCGTGCGTGTGCGCGCGCTTGCATGCGTGATAAGGAAAAGTATATGCTCGTGTACGTGTTATGTGCTCGCGTGTGCGCGCGCGTGTGTGTATGCCATTGTGAGCACGAGAAAAGAGACAAGTATGTATGCATGTGTATGTGGATAAGATAGAAAGAGAGAATGAAAGAAGAGTAGAGGATTGACAAATGAGAGCGAGAACAAGAGGTAGAGAAAGAAAAAGCAAGCATGTACGTACAAACATCGAGATGATACGAGCGAGAACAAACTACAATATTCCCGCGGAATTTGCCTGACACGCAGTAGTTCACAAGTCGTTTTTACTTAAACGCGGATTTGTCACAAGTAGTGACAGCGTAATATCACGCAGAAAACTTGGCGATAAGCTGCAAGAATCCATATATCATACAACCGAAGGTTTTATCGGTTGCTTGTATTGGTGTTTGAAATGCTTTACAGAGTGAAGAAATGTGACCACTCTATACATTCAGCCTTACTAGCTACCTTCTTAAAATGCTTTCTCATTAACAAATGGTAAATCCCAAAACTTCGACTGTTCGACCTCTTTACGTTTTGGCGGGATTTTGCACGCATGCGCGTTCTCCCATGAAATGTCATTTTTTACGTTTTAGTAGTGTCAGCCAAATTGTTACATAATAACTTTGCTGTTGTAGTCAATGTGTCAGATAAGAGGCTAACCTTTTGAGGACAAGTTCGTGCTCAAAGACAATGCGATGAAATAATAGGATTGAACTTATGTTGCGTGTCATTAAATAATTTTACAACGCACAGGAAAGAAAAAGAAATAAGAAAAAAGAAAGAAATGGAGGAAAAAATATTACGAATGTTATAATCTGTATTGTATCAAGGAATTTGAGTTTTCTTTTGTTTTCTTGTTTTGTATTTATGTTATTCGATTTAAGAAACAAAATAATGTATTTTCGTTATCCATATGTCTGCGTTCCAAAAAACACATTTTCAAGCTGGTTTACGCAATAAACTGAATCGTATTAAACGACCACAGAAACAAAATCTTATAGAAAATATGTTACAAACAAAAGTGAATATGTACGTATCAAGAATGAAATAAATATCTATAAAATATTTATATTGCGAATATAATTTACATTATGAACGTTTATAGTATGGGTAATATAACACAACATATAATACGCTTTAATAACGAATCATTTTCTTCGGTAGATTTAAAATTACGCTTTTTTCTACTTTATGAAAACAAATTATACTGCTTAAGATAAAGGAGAGAGTGAAGAAGAAAGAGAGAGAGATGAAAAGCAAACAATATAACGCTGAAACGTTGAACTGTTTGTTATTAGAAATTGGTACATTAAGTACGACCTTTATATTATTTTCCTACATAATACAATATATAATGAAACGAGTATTTTGCTAACATGTACTATACAACTCGAAGTGTACGAATTCCCTTCTTAGTTCTAAACAAAATCAGAACGACTGAATCGCGTAAAGTAGTAACGTATATTGTTTTAGAAAGTGTCATTCAGTATGAAGACATACAGTTGTAAAGTTTAATGGCTAATTAATAAACGACATTTTATTATTTTTCAGATGCTGGATCCAAGCGTGCTAACGGATTTAGAGGAACTGACGCTTTGCAGTTATTGCAAGCAGAAGTATAACGACGCGGAACAATGTCCGAAATATCTTAGTTGCAAGCACTACTTTTGCTTGCGTTGCATAGAGAACAATTTATTAAAGGGACGTGAGTTGTTTTGTGCGCATTGTTGGAAGAGGACGGACCTGGGTGATCAAGGGCCGGACGCTTTACCGACGCACTCTTCTCTCCTTGTTCTAACGAATAATTTGTCTCACCTAAAAATTACCACGAATAATACATCTGGAAAAACGAATGATAAGGAGAGAAAGGTACTTGGCAGTATGAATATATTTTTTATAATGTTTTCGAGTTCGTCGGCCGGTTATTCGCATTGCCAGTTCATACGCAAATGGTAAAAAGAAGCATGTAACTCTGAAGCCATACCGAGATAGCTTCTAATAGTAATAGGATTATGTTATAAGGTCTACAATAGTTTCCTTTTAGGATACAGAGTATAATTTTTATATCTAAAGAGTTTTTATTTTCTTTTTAAATAGAATTACGAGGTGAAAACCATTATGGCAGTTTACTACTTGGAATATAACATACGTAATAAAAGCAAAAAGAAAGCATAAAGTTTATGGTTATTGTGATATTGTTACAGAGCGAAAATTGTCACACGCATGGAATGCCTTTGGCATTGTGGTGTGCGACATGTTGCACAGCACTTTGTAGAGCATGCGCTACTCCACAGGAACACCCAGGCCACCAGATTAAATCGCAAACTGATGCCAAAGAACAACTCATATCCGATGTAAGTTTTACAACTAATTTTATTTGTAGGTACATTTGTTTTTTATGTATATGTATATACACATTTTTATACGTTAAGAAATATAGTTGTCGATAGTTGATACGTAGCTTCTTGAATAGGGTTGCATGTCGATATTTTTCTAGGTTCAATTGGAGTTAGTTGCTATGGGAAAGTTATCGACCGAGATTCAAAGACTGGCTATGCAACAACGAGAATTTTTAATAAAGGTGTTAGAAGCTTGTGTAACGTTAAAAACGCACGTTGAGACAGATCTCCAGAACGGCTGGAGTCATTTCCCTGAGATAACAGACGCGCGGGAAACGCTTGGGAAAGCGAAAGCTAGTCTGCAGATGATCGACAGTCCTAGCGATGTATACAGTTTGCATTCACAACTCATAATAGAGAAACAAAGATTGCAATCGAAGTATCAAGAAATGATGTTGCAGTGCCAACTTGACGCTTTAATTGGTAATTCGAGAGTGGTATTTGATTTTGCGTTATTGAAACAAGCGTTAGCTGGAATTCACACGGGAGAACCGATCGTTTCTCAAGGAACGAGTAATGGTGGTAGATTACCAAATCATTTGGTGGCTTCACAAAATCCGATACTGTTCCTCGCAAATTATTGCATGTCGCAATTATATTCGAGACATGTAGTTAGTAAGCAACACATGCAAAACGGTTCTATAGAATATCATTCGAGTATGATGCAGCCACAACCAGCTCCACCGGGTTCTGTTCACGTACATCAAGGTCCACCGCCGCCGGCAACCCCGCAGCAACTTCTTATTCCACCTGGTTCGCCGTCCGTTAAACCCGTTCCGCCCGCACCTCCGAACGCGATGTTACATCCACAACAACAATCGACATTTATACCAGAAGGAGTCGGTACTGGTGGCGGAAGTTTGGTAACCGTCCACTCATCCTCTCAACCGCCGTCCAGCGGAATAGCAGCATCCCTTCGAGGACCTTCGAACCCTTATCCTCTGTATTATTTCAATATTGAAGTGAACGGATCTCCGCATGGTCGTATTGTAATAGAAGTGAGGCCAGATGCAGCGCCAAAAATGGCAAAAAATTTTAGTGTACTGGCAACTGGTGAAGTCGGAGTTGGTTATAAGGGTTGCACAATTTTTCAGTGTTGGGAGGGTGAATCCGTGATCACCGGTGATTTTGAGTTAAATAATGGTCGCGGAGGAAGAAGCATATTTGAGGATGGGTATTTTATGCCGGACGACACGAAATTTCCTGCAGTGAGAGGAGCAGTGGGAATGCGGAGAACGCAAAAGCGGCACGATAATCTTGGTATGGTGGGTTCACAATTTCGTATAATACTACAAGAGATGCGCGGATTCACGGGAATCTTTGGCCATGTCGTTGAAGGATTAGAATTAGTCGAGAAGATATCTACGTTTGGCGATCAAACGGGCAAGCCTACGAAGAGTATTCTAATTACGAAGTGCGGTAAATTGTAACGACGACATTATTGCGGTTAGTATACACCGAAGGGTAATCAAGTACTACCCGTATACTTTACGTTTTCCCGCTATAGATAACTAAACAAGAAGTTTTACGAGATCGCGACGGTATCTCTGACGCGTTCGATATAGGGAATGGGGTGTTTAATTAAACAAAAAATCACGTATATATAATATCTGACGATAAATGATATTACATGTTAAGAGACACCGTCGCGACCACATAGCTCCATGAATCGCGATGCTCCGTATAAGTCACACAATTTAATTAACTATTAACAATAGAATTCTAAAGATGTTGAATCTATTTTTAAACGTGGACGCATAAGAGGAGAAAGAAGAAATAAAGATCCATATTTTGCTATTGATTGGGAATCAATAAGATTCTGTATCTACAATAACGACGATGATCGATAATACGTACCTCAAGATCGATCGTGATATCGATACGACTTCTAGTTGTACGACATTTGTTTTAGAAGAAGTTCGACGTTTATTTTGGCTATTGGCATATTGCTATGTATAGTTGATATAGAGGGTATCGCACGGGATTTAAGAAGTGCCGTGGTTAACGGCGTCGCCCTGCGGGCGTTGCTAATGTTTTAGGTCATAGGTAGTAAAAACAAAAAGAAAAAAAAAAACGTGTAGATGAGGAATACGTACAGAAAATGGGGCAAACTTGTATGTGTATACACATACATTCATATATTTGTAAAAAAAAAACAAGCAAACAAACAAACAAACGTACAGGCGGGAACTTTTTTTGTTTTATAATCGAAATACGTGACTTCGTAAAAGTCAAAAAAGTCGTGATTCCACATACGCAGGTCGTTTAGAACATTAAATCGAACGATACGTCGGTACGTAAAAGGGCTAATTTTATTTCGTCCGGTTAACGATCACGTATCGTTCCGTTTCTTTTTTCAGAGGAGAGAAAAGGAGCTAAAAGGGAACAAGTAATTGCGCGATGAAACGAGTCAAGGAAAATTGCGGTTCCTATCGGATGACTCTAGGATACTTCTCCCTTTTTGCTCTTTGCTATGGTCTAATAGACCATCGTAAATTAACTGTATTTAAGATTAGATCTCAACATGAAAATGTATGCAAGGCCTAACTACTACTATGTAGATTGTAAGCCTCGTCGTCTGATCAGAAAAAAAAACGAACGAAATGAGCGAATATATATTATAAACGAATCATTCCTCGATGCTGTATATCGAAGTACTACGATAATGTAATGCGTTATACTACTCGTCTGAATCCTCGTAAAAATCCCATCGTTATGTATCATATTATCATGTACCGTGTGCGAAAAAACGCGTCGTAAAAAAAGTGTTCTGTAAATCGGCGCGTATAAACAAAAAGCGCACTCACGTATTGTAGGAAATTGCACGCCCTCGACGTCGCGGATGCCTTTTTCGAAGAGAGCCTCATTCGATGTTGAACTTGAAAGTTTTAACACTTGTTAATTAGCTAATTCATCGTGTTTTGCAATGAATTAAAGAAAAAAGAAAGCATTGAATCACGATGAATGTGAGAATCGCCGTTAGAATTAAATAACACTGCGTAATACGTACGACGATCGAAGGGTGGTCGAGCTCGAATGAATTTCTCTCGTTTCGGTCGTTGTAAAAAAAAAAAAATAACCGGAAAACGTCAGTCGACACTTCGAATCTAGATGCGTATAAATTCATGCGTTTACCGAAGCGAGTGAAGCTAGAAGCCCACCTGTATACACAAAATATCCACGCGCGCGCGTATATATACATATATGTATATATATACATATATATATACATATATA